TCACACTAAATATTTTTTTATACTCATGACCGAACCTAAGATCTTCAATTAAGGGAGCAGCAACCACATCCACTCCATCCCATTGGTGATTGTTTTTAACTTATCATGAATGTCTTGATATTAGTCAAAGTCTACACTTAATTTGATATATTCTTCTAAAATATCTTCACTATTACAATCTTTGAATAACTTGTTCCCAATTAAATGAACCATAACCGATGACTACAATTAATTTGATTTGATCTTCTAAAATTCTTCAATGTTATAATCTTTGAATAACTTGATCTAGTCAAATGAATCACAAGTGTCTTTATATTAACCAAAGACTACAATTAGTTTAATATATTCTTCTAAAAAGTCTCAATTATTATAATCATCAAATAATACATTTCCACCCAAATAAATCATAAGTGTCTTGATATTAATAAAAAAAATATAAGTAATTAATTTGAATTTTTAAAAAAAATATTCCAATCATAATTATAATCTTCAAATAATTTGTTGTCAACCAAATGAAGTATAAATGTCTTGATATTAAGCAAAGACTACAATTAATTTGACATGTTCTTTTAAGATATACAATTAATTAAACAAGTTCTTCTAAAATATCTTGATCATTATAAAATGTTTAAATAATTTGTTCTCAACCAAATGAATTATAAATGTCTGAAAGTTAATACTATAATTAATTTGACATATTCTTTTTAAACATTTCGATCATATAGTATTCGAATAATTTATTCTTAATCAAACAAATCATAAATGTCTTAATTAATATTAATTATAGACTATGATTAATTTGACATGTTTTTTTTTTAAATATCACGATTATTATAATTTTTGAATAACTTATTTCCAACCAAACAAATCATAGATGTCTGGATATTAATCCAAGACGTTAATTAGTTTGACAAGCTCTTTTAAAATATCTTTTTATCTCCAGAACAATGAAAAATAAATTTGATGAAGAATTGTTCATTAAACTTTATCAATTTATCATGATTAAATAATGTAATTAGTTATAATTAAGTAATAGTTTGTTTATATAAAACATCTGGTGTATTTATTACTCTAGTAATATAAACACCCATTACAAATTATTTCTTACCAATTAATACTTGCTTATCTCTCATGTTACTTATTTTTACTTTTTTATGGACCATCTTAATGGCTTAATTATTATTTTTTTCCAAAAAACAAAAAAATTCAAATAAAAGTCAAAACAAAAAAGCCTACATAATTATCTACATCATTTATTATCCTTTGTATTTATACATGTATTTTGTTTTCTACTCTGTATTTTCTACACAGAGAGAGAAACTGAAAGAGTATTTGAGAAGCTCTCACTATTTACTGATTTTGATGCAAATTGTGAGAGAAAGAGAAAGAAAAAGATGTACTGAAGAAGCCACACACACACACTACTGTGAGAGATAAAGGGAAAGAGCTCTTCTCTTTGCATTTATACTTCTTCTCTCACAAACTAAATTCTTCCAACTTTGAAGCTTCTGGAACTAATCTACCAGGTGGTTTTCCCTCTTTGTGAGTCCCTTGAAAGGAAAAAAGTTTTTTTTTTTTTTAAATAAATAAATTGAAAATCCATCAAGAAAATGAAACCCCATCTTTGATTTTTGATTTTTGATTTTCAAGATTCTTGTGTGATGCATGAACCAAAGTTGAAATCTTGAAAATGGGGTTTATGTGGGTTTAATCATTTTTCTTGGAGATGTCAATGGTGGTTTTTTTTATAAAAAAAATTCAAACTTTTTGTTCTGGCCGTAATCTACATTTGCAGGTCTTTCTCTTGTTGACTCTTGGTGTTCATTGGTTTTGACTATTTTTTGTTATTTCTAACTATTTATTTTTCTTGAGAAAAAGTTTTCCCCTTTAATAATCTATGTGGGTTTTATGGATTCTTGAATTGTTTTTTGTGCATTTATCATCTTCCTTCTAACCCCTTTAAAAATGCAAGCTTTAATGTAGTTGTTCTTTAGATGATTTGATGGATTTCTCATTTGGGGTTTCTTTTTATAAATTTGACATTCTTGATGATTTATTTAGTACTAAGGCAAAACATGTTGGATCTTGATGCAGGTTTTGGTGGACTTTTAGGGCTGAGGGTTTAAGGATAATGTTGAAGAAGAGGACCAGATCACACCAGAAAGTTCACACAATGGGACATTTGATGTCTGATGGTATCTCAGATTCTTATTTTCAATCTGATGTTTTGGTTAGGAAACATAGAAGTAACTCCTTTTTTAATGTTCCTGGTGTGTTTGTTGGGCTTAATCCTAAGGGTTCAGAATCTGATTCAGTGAGAAGTCCTACTTCTCCACTGGATTTTAGGGTCTTTTCAAATTTGGGAAACCCCTTTAGGTCATCAACTAGTGAGGGGGCTGGGGCTAACAAGACATGGGGTTGTACTAAAGTAGGCCTTGGCATTGTAGATTCTCTTGATGATGAAATGAAACAATCGGGGAAAGTTTTTCGATCATCCGATAGTAAAAATATTCTTTTTGGCACACAAATGAGGATCAAAACACATGATTTTCAGAGCTGTGTTGGTGATTCTCTTGAGGAACCTAAGTCACTCCCTAAGATTATCTCGATTTTTCCTCATACTTTGTCCAAAAGCTCCGATCTTCGAAAGGGAAGTTCTGATGTTGTCTTTGGAATTGGAGATGCCCTGTCGGAGCATGAGTTGTCCAGAAATTTTCGTTCTTGTTCTCTAGACTCTGGAAGGTCTAGCTCACGTTTCGCAAGCTTGGCGAACCGTACTGTGGCTTTTGGTTCTGAAAATGCAATAAATCCAGTGGTTTCACATACTAAATGTGTTAGAGGTTGCTCAAAGTTGGGCAATCCTGCAGGTGGTGCGAAATTGAGTCCTATACCCACACCTGTTGGCTCTAACACTAGCTTAGTTGGTTCTATTTCAGCTAGTGACATTGAACTTTCTGAGGACTATACCTGTGTGAGAACCCGTGGACCCAATGCCAAAGTAACTCATATCTTTTGTGACTGCATTTTAGAATGTCACAACAATGAGTTACCCAATTTTTGTAAGAATGCTAATGAGAAAACCGTGCTGCCTGAGGTGACGGACAGCTCAGAGGTCCTCACTTCATTTCCTTCAAGCGATTTTTTGCGCTTCTGTTCCTCTTGCAAGAAGAAGCTGGATGGAAAAGATATTTACATGTACAGGTCTGTTCATATTCACTGCAATTCTAACAGTTCTAATGACTTGATGATTTTGATAGTGAAAATTTGTATTGTGTTTTGCAGAGGTGAGAAAGCTTTTTGCAGCTTGGATTGTCGGTCTGAGGCGATTTTAATTGATGAGGAGATGGAGAAGAAAGTCAATAATCATTCTGAAAGCACTATTAAGCCAAACAGCCGTGATGAAGTTTTTGACACCGGCTTGTTCATCGTTACATAGGATGCCGGAATTGCACTGCTGTAGCTACTAAGCCCATGATTGATGAAACCGCCGCACTGGTTAACAACTAGACACCCTGGTCATCTGTTTACTAAGAGCTGTTTTTTTGTGCATCTTTGTGCAGCCATGGGTGATCAGATCATGTATTGCTACTTGTGTGAACTGTCTTTCCTTTCTCATGGTCTTAGTGGTTAACGGTCGCAAACTGCGAATTTTGCTTTATATAGTTCTGAATTTGTTTATGTAATAGTGGAGTATAATCTCAAAAAAAAAAGGATAAGAAACTTAACTAGAAGGGTTGTAGCCCATCCTTGTGGCTCCCCAAATTTTGGTTTCTCACCAAGCTGATATTACCTGTCAAAGTTTGATAAATACAAATGTTTATGACTACATACATTACTTCTGTTTTGTATGAATAAAAATGTTTTGTAACTACTCATTGCTGTCCTCGTTGTTTACTGCTAACAGAATCTGTTTGTTCTCTGCTTATGTAAATGTGTTAGTCATGATATGCTTTCTTGATTGTGATTTAGACTTTACCGATGCTAGTAAATGTTGATTTGGTCTTTTAGTCGGTGAAGATAACATAGCCTCTTGAGGTTTCTGTTTTTGTTGTTCTTTGAATACCCCTCAACCAATTGCTTCCATAATCCTAGGTCTCATTTCTTTGATCCTCAACTTGTCTTTTTCTTGAATGCACTTGATAGATATGTTGGGAATATGTTTGTCATGTTAGTACATCTAGACCCCTATGTTTTCTGGGGATCTTGTTGTTCTGTGAAGATTTGAATGTCAGTAGAAAATACAGAACTTCTGATACTTTTTAGTTTGTTTTGTATTTGAGATGAGCTTACATAGAGCGACATTGATAGTGATGTGATGATTCATGGAGCCGATCCTAACTTGTTTGGGATTGAGGCATAGTTTTTATTGTTGTAGTTTGTGTAAATCCTTTTTATTTCTTCAGATTGAACTACACCAGTTGACACAGTAGTGTCTTGTTCCTTCAACTCTTAGATTAGCACTACACCAGTTCTGTTTATACTCTGCGTCTTGCATAGCTAACACTACCATGATGATGCTACGATGTGCCTGTATTGACGTTACTTGCAAACAATGCTGATACTATATATCCATAAAAACACACACATGTTTGATTATTCTAACTAGTCGAAACGTCCTCACTTTAGAGAGGTCCTTTCGGGTTTAATTTTAATTCCATGAGAACACTGTTTTGGGAGATTGAGGTAATGTTGGGAACATGTGCTATACTGTACTGTATGTGAAGCCTGAAGGCACTAATGGCCTATGCAGTATCTTTATACGTGTATCTTATCTATGTTTCCTTTTTCTTTTTTTACCTTTTTGTGATGTTACCAATTTAAGTAACTTGGGGAGTAAATGTTGACAAGGGTCACTCATCTAGTCAGGTAATTGTTCTTTTCATCTATCACTTTACCTCAGAAAAAAGAAAAGGTATACTGCACGTTAGAAAATTGAAAGGGACTAGCTTTTTTCTTTCTTTGTTTCAATACCTTGCAATCTAAGAATGCATAGTCAGGATAATTTAACTAGGTACCCGTCATAATATTTTTTTTAAAGAACTATAGTACTCTTTAAATATGAAGTAATGATACAAATTTAACTTCACACGAGTAATTAACTGGAAGGTGCAATATCACACAACACTTCAGGTCTCAGCCACCTGACATGCCACAGTTCTACTTGCTCTCTGCTATAAAGGATTGAATCACGCATACCAACAATATTTGTGCCAAGACTGAACAAATAATCAGTGTCTTCAAAATTACACTGGCATGTAAAACACACATACTACTACCAAGGAACATTGAAGATAAATAAACTGAAGAAATGCGAAAACACGATAACCCCAGAAATGCTACAAGCATGATCATAGTAGAACCCCTTTCCTTCCATCATTTCTTCTACAATCTTAGCAGCATTGTAAAGCCCAATCATTCCCAATCAGAGGTACCACCCTAGCCACATAGGGCGTGGGATCATTTTCACTTGAAAGCCAGACTGACTATTGCTATATGGTCCCTCTATCTGCCTCTTATTTGGCGGGTGTTGTAAGATTTGCAACATGGACATTTCTGAGCCACAAAGTGAAATTGCACTTCTGAGGTGATTCCACAATCATTACAAAGGATCCAAACCTGCAGTATCATAAATTTCATTTACTTTTTGAAGCTCTGTTGGCATATTAACGCAATAACAAGAACAGTTCGGAAAATACACTCACCTTCTTGTCTTGATAAGGTTCGGGCATCGGTGTTGCAGCAATCTCCATGTCAAATTTCTCCCACACCTTCGACATATCACATACCGACTTAGAGCAGAGAGGACAAGCATACCTGTTGCAAAGTTGAAGTCAGATCAGTTGTATAGACAACCTGCACACATGTTGAAAATAGGGTACAATAAAGTAACAATAACTTACTGGTAGTGTTCCTGCATCTCCTTCAAGCAGTTCTTATGAATAGTGTGTCCACAAGGCATTACTGTTACATCATTTATCGACTCAAAGAGATACTGCATATAACCATTCTCAATTCATTCGGTTGCAACATCACAGAAAAGGTTTAAACAAGGGAAAAACAACTGGGGAGAATTTTTTTATTGCAATCCATACCTCAAAACAAACAGGACAGTCGTGATGCATTGCTCCCTCTACACAGGGGTGGCTGTTCCTCAATAGAACTGAATAACAACATCCTGTATCACACAACCACCACATAGTAAGAAAAATGAAATTCCAAAAGATAATACGTAGTAATGCACAAACATGAGCCTATGATAAACAAAGGGATGACTGAGACTTACTGCATTTGGGACAGTGGAAGAAGTTCTCCATCCCACCAATCCTAGAAACATAAAAATAATAAAAATAGAACACCAACATCAGAATCAATACAGAGTTTAAACATCAAATGTATACACAAAGATAATATGGAACAGTTCAGATGAATTGGTATTGAATTGCAGACAGGTCTTTTTGTTATTACACATGGAAGACGTTAGCAAAGGTGTTATCTCCTTTTCTTTAGTTACTTTTTTTGCACTATCAGAAGCTCAACAGAAATGAGAGAGAGAGAGAGAGAGAGAAAATGTTATGGAGAATGGGGAAGGCATTGGAATTTCAGCTAAGTAACAATACCTGCATATTCCACAACCATTGCAGTGATACTGTCTTTTGGATATCTGCAACATGAAAAGTGGAGAAGAGGTTGGTCAGCACATTACATATTTCACTTACAGCTGCATTTCCTTGTTACTATCATCAACTCCTTGAATTCAATGTGTGTATTACGCAGTTTCATGTGAATAACTTGAGAGAGGAGAATTAAAACTTACATCATCATCAAATAGCTTACACGTTTCACAGAAATATCTCCCCATGCACACACCGCAATTGATGCAAACTTGCTGAACCTGGTAGAGAACATCAGTGATAACTAGTCAGAATGCAAGCTGCTTGGCTGGAATAGCAAACATCAAACCAAGAGAACTCGGTTCTCTTCGGGTTCTTGATCAATAAACTGTCATGCTCAAGCAAGAAAGACTTGCATTACTCAATTGCAAACATCCTTAAAATCGTGACCTCATAACAGAGTAAAGGGCAGGACAGCATAAACACCACTCACCTCTTGCTCTGTATCACAAAGTGAGCATATAACCTGCAGAAAACCCAAAACAAATGAGTATATGTATTCTTTTATGCATCGTGTTCAGATTCCATTCAAAATTAAATGAAGAGAAGGTAAAACTAGTTGATGGAAAGGAGACCAAGGAAGAGAATTACATATTGGGGGGGGGGGGGGGATTATTTGCACAAAAATAGTTTAACCAGTCAGGATTATTACCCTTTCCACCTTGTGACGAGGAATCTCATGTCGAAGTTTCTGGTCAACGTTGATATTGTTCTGTAGACAAGCAAATATGTTAGTAAAGTCTTTACCAACCAAAGATGGGAGATGAGTAATCTTTGGGGGGAAAATAAGAATCTTTGCTGATAAGGTAAAATCTAAATGATGCATAGCCACAATGAAATGATGAATGCTATGACGTGTAAATCAAGGTGCCTTGCAATCAAAAGGTACAAGAAAACGCTACATGACTTCAAACAATAATGCTCATGTCCCTGGATGCAGGTATTTTGTTATCTCAAATCTTACTGAGGTGGCATACTGTGCACCTCATTAACTACAGACATATTATACTTATTCGTAAGTGAATGGTCCATCATTCATCAGGACTTACCTTATATTCATTATGACAATGCCTACAGTCAAACATCTCATTGCAGCAAGGGGCTATAATGCGACATCTACGGCGATAGTGGGAACATCTGGAAAATAACACACATCTGAGAATAATTGATAATCATAACATCCACTATGTATGAGGTTTAGACAAACATATATCATAATATGTATCTACACCTTCAATGTTATAACAGAGTTGGTGAGCAAAGATCAACCAAGTATGATTGTACAAAATAGACGTAGGTTAAATTGGTGAAGAAAGATCAACCAAGAATGATTGGACAAAATAGACTTAAGTTTACTGTCATGAATGAGACAGAGAACATACCCATATTCCAAGTATCCTCTGTCGAGGGCTTCAGTACAAGTGGATTTTTCTTCATGTGTACTATCCTCAGGCAAGTAGCCCCCAGAGAAACTCTGAACCAGATCATCATCATTCTCAGATGTTGTAACATTTTGTAAGTTTAAGGCCTCATAATGTGGTGTCCCTGAATGTTCAATCACTATGTCTCCCATTTAGCCTTATGGATGAATTTAACAACTAGAAGCCCTGCATTCAGGAAACAGTCAAGGGAAAAAATCCTAAACCTACAAAGGCATGACTATTTGGCCCTCCAAATGGGCAAAACACCTCAGACAATGTTGTGTTGTCGCACATGAACACCAATTGAAACCAGCAACAACAAATTCCAACAAAGCTTGACAGCTCCAATCAGCAAACTCCACCATGAGAATTCATCAAAACAAGTTGATCTACAAGAATCCACAAGTAGGTTCAAAAGGAACCCAAACTAGAACTATCGTGAAGCATTGAGGAGCTCCAAAGCGTCCAGCAGTAGATAATAATGATTGCATGATGACTTCATTCTTGGAGAACTCCATTTAAAGAGATACTGATGAAGGGAAGTCCAACCTAAGGTAAAAGCAATGGACAACAATCAACCCCGTCCTGACAGAAAAATACTGGGAAAAGTGCGAAACTGCAGAGATGATTTATTTGTTGTCCATCACAGACAACCCTACCTCAGTCTGAGATTCTGCACCATGTCTCACTTCAACAAGGGAATCTTACCCTGAAGAAGAATTTTATAAATTCCTACTGTCTGTTAGTTGGATTATTTCATTGTCAGAAAGGAAAATCTTATCTGTTGGGTTACAACATCCAACTGATCCATACTCTCCAGTCTCCGGTGGTCATCTTTCTTTTTTGTTCACCTTTTCACCCGGAGGCTTATTGTTAACGAAAGACCTCATCATCGCACATGCCTAGCATTTTACTAAAATTCACAAAAACTGAAGTTGCAAACAAAAAGCATCATGTGCCACGATATCTTATTTTTCCACAGTCCAGTGTCTACCTCTCATGCGAAAGTAGGTAAAATTTATAATCTTTCATTACCATCAGTCAAGAACAGCTACAACTACATATACCAGATGATCTCTTTCAGGAGCCCAAAATTAGATTGGTTGGAAGATAAAACATACCAGAAAACTTGGAAAGCAATCGAAACTCCCAATCCTAAGTCAGCCTACTAAAGGAAAAGTGAGAACTGCAAATACCAATAGCCTCAATGGATACCAGCATCAGAAGTTGAACGCAAAATAGAAAAAGGAAACAGAGTGATGAACAAACTGAACAGAAGATTGACATAGATGTCCAATGAGAAGGGCGCTATCACGACTACTACTTCCATTTGATTGGAACACCAGCTTTTCAACTTCAGCTTGACCAAATACATGCTTATAAACGCTTGTGTTTATAGTCTCAATCTTCATAAGCGAAAAGAGATAGGGCAGGAAAAAAGAAAAGTATTTGTTTATTCAAGATCTTTATTATTTTTTTGTCTTTAAATTCGTCATCAACTTCTCACTGGAATTTTACTTGATAGCTGCAATTTACACACTGTCACAAAACATCAATATAGCTAAACCACCCACACACAAGTTCAAGGTACCCCATATCTTAAACCTGCGGGCACCTATATATTTTTAACTATAATTTTTCAAGGCTAAGAGTAAAACTAGATAATTTCATCAACTATCCTGAGACCAAAGAATGCCAAATTAGTTATCAATCGTTCCTACGGATATATTTTGCTGCCACTCAATCAATCAAAAGCAAAGGCCTCATGCAATCAATCAACCAACGTAAATGCCCCGAAACTGAGGATTATTATCAATCGTTCCTACGGATATATTTTGCTGCCACTCAATCAATCAAAAGCAAAGGCCTCATGCAATCAATCAACCAACGTAAATGCCCCAAAACTGAGGATTATTTACACTCGATGAATAAAAAATTGTGGATAGGGTTAATATAACCACAAAGCTCGAAAGCTCAGTGATATGAAGCAGCATTCCACCAAGATACATACGCTACATAACCATCAAATTCAACATAGATATTAGCAAGGCAACCAGTTGTAACACAACAGCACGCAAACCAATCATTCATGATCTCATGGCACAGAAACATAATCTCAACAGAGTCTCTTTCTCTTTCTTTTTTCCATAGCACAACAATCACAATTCTTATAGATTCCACAAAAATGGGAACCTATACGAGAGCACAATCAACAAGCTCCACTAAAAGTATCTCTCCTCATACAAACTAACGCAAATCCGTTATAATCGATCTAAGCAAACAAAGCCTATAAATTCACCAACACAAACATTTCATAGACTCCGCAAAAGAGGATGAAATGCAACAAACAATAAATTAAGCAGTACGCGAAAAATGAAGAATAAGATGAAACACAGAGATCAGTAGATAGGCGTCATTATAGGTCTAATCATACTTGCAGGAAACTATATAATAGCGCGAAATTCATACAGTCTACATACCTATATAAGTAAATTCAATAGAAATGAGAAGAGCGAAATACGGAATTACGGAGCAAAAACAAAAGTGAATATAAAAGGAAGCTAACGCAGGACACTTTGAATAACGAACTTTCAACTCCGATCGTCGGTCACAACTTGCTCCGATCAGATTCTCCGACCTGCAAATGCTGAATAATGTATACAGATAAATGCACGCACAGAGAAAATGGAGGATTTTTTTGTGAGTAGGGTTCGAATGTGAGTGGTTTTATAGGTGGGCGGGGAGGCTATCCAGAGAGTTCGAAAAAATTGAAAGGTGTGGGCAGATGACGTGGTGAGTGAAATTTGTGAAAGCTGGTCATTCATGTATCTTTTTCAAATGCTATTACTATTTCACCCCTATAAACTAATCAAAATATCTTTCCACTCTACACGTTCTGTTTTTTTCTTCAAAATTTGAATAGAAAATTATTAATAGGATACTTTGTCAGGAATTGAGGTGTTCAATTGAATCAAGATTTATTGAATGGTCTAAATGATATATTTTGACAAGTTTTAGGGAATGATGTGTGTTCAAACTTATATTTTTTAGAGGATGTTGAGATGAATGCGTGAACACAGGAGAGGTAAAATCAGGAACGAAGATATATGAGATAAGGTTGGCCGTGGGAGTGACTCAAGTCATGGACAAGACGAGAGAGGCGAGTTTAAGATATTTCGGACATACAAGATCGCAAATGCACAGATACTCCCCAGTGAAAAGTGTGAGAGGTTGACCATGGTGAGTTTTAGGAGAGATAGGTCTAACAAGTATTGAGGAGAAGTGATTCGACTGAATATGACACACCTACAACATATCGATGACATGACACTAAATAAAAAAATATGAAAGTCGAGAATAAGAATAAAAGATTAGAAGAGAGTTGTTTAATTTGTTTCTTTATCAATCGTATTATTAGTAATTCTCTTACTATTGTATTCTTCAATTTTACTATTATATACATATGGTGGTTTATTTGTTTCGTTTGTTGTATTATTTGAGATTGTTATTGTCTCTTTCCTTAATTATTTTTTGTATGATTACTTCAGTCAATGAACTATTGAAAACAATATTTTCATTTTTTACAAAACAAGAATAAGACTATATTACCTTTTAAAAATTGTTATTTATAATTACACTGATTATATTATTATTGTAGTTAAGTAAAATTTAACCTGGTATCTATATATATAGACAGGGGAGGACCCACCCATATCGAAGGGGTGTCGTTGAAAAATTACAGAGGTCAAATTTTGATTCAATAAATATATATATAAGTATTGATACCTTTTGACACTAATTAAAGAGTTAGTCTAGTGGTTAAGATATTGTGAAAAGTTTTTGAAATTGTGTGTTTTAATCCTAATAGCTTCATTATCATCAACACCCCTTAATGACGATTCTATATCCGCTATATGGACTATGGAACAACTGGATACCAATGAAGGAAAAAGAAAGACTATTTAATTTAGGCACGAGAAGACAATCACGCAACCTGTTGAAAGTTGAAATTTTCCATGTTGACAGGTTTATAAATTGGATAAATTCAATTCGTAATTGGCCCGTGTGAAAATATGTTGAATGGTGTGCAAGGCCGGTGCTAAAAATACACTCACATTATCCATTCGCCTCCAAAAAGTGTTCACAACATCAAAATATTCAGTAAAATTATACGAGTGAAATTTGAAGGGAATAGAATATGCGTAGATTTTATTCTCATCTCATGGAAGCAGAGATGTCAATTCAAAAGTGTTTACTTCCAGCAAATTTGATGTAGGTGTTTTATGTATATTTTTTTTTTGGTTTCTCACTCGATGTTCTGCACTCTGCAGGGCTCATTCGAGGGTGGTGCTCCCAACAGAATTTTCTCCATACCTAGGACCTCAAACCCGAAACCTCTAGTTAAGGGTGAAGCACTCCCACCAGTATAATTGAATAAAAATTAATTTTTTTTTCTAAGGATAATTGGTAATGCGTCAAATTGTTTCACGTAAAGGAAAGGGTGAGGTAACTTGTAGGCTGCAGCATGGCACCTATGTTGTTTATATGCGTAAGTGAAAAGTAAGGTTGGTCACCTCTTTTTTACTAGTCAATAAGGATGAATAATAATAAGAACATCTTTCACCTATAGTAAACATAAAAATTATATTTGTATGTTATAACTATAGTATGCATAATTTGCGCTCCATAACAAATTTTATGTTTGTTATGGAGCTTTTGATTTGTATAATTCGCTATAAACATCCAATTTTATACAAATTGTTCAGTTTTGTATAAATTAATTTATACATTGTAATTTGTATAACAAGATCTGTATTTGTATAATTATAAGTGTAAAAGACGAAAATATATGTATTTGTATTTGTATATACACTTTTCTCTCTCTTTATACAAACACAAACGCATTTTATACCGAAATGTATAAAATGACTAATTGTATACTGAATCAGATGACAAAAAAATGGGATGTTTGCTGCGAATTACAATTAAAATAAACTATGCTATAACATTTAATTCGAATTAGTAGTTTGCAATTTCTTATAATTTTCCCTAATAAGAGTAGTATAAGATAATAATTTAATTTAATTTTTAGATCGAATTATTGTTTCATGTTTTCTATATGAGCTTTGATTTCTTCCAATCCAAAAAGTATATATGTATATGTATATTTTTTAACAGGGTCGAGATCCTCATAAATATATGTTGGAGAAATTATGTAAAATTTGCAAAACATATTATAATACTCTCTATGTCTTAATTCATGTGTCTTATTTTTTATTTTTTTACTTATTTAAAAAGGAATGCATCTTTCTATATAACTAACTAAAATAAAATCTTCAATTCCAACATTCTAACAAGTTTAATTAAAATTTAGAATGGTTCATTTTTCTTTTATTTTAAATAAATATAAAAGTGGTACTTTTAGTATTTTCAGTTTTACAAAAAATTTATTGTAAACAAATGAAAAAAAATTAAAAAGAAAACGCCACATGGCTGTCAGAAAATTCAATGACTACCAAGTATGAAAAACTATGGATCAGTACGCAACAAAAAAAATGGAAACAATTGATATCAAAGTTCAAAAATTTTTAAAATCTAAAATATAAATTCATAAAAATATTCTCTTCTAACTTTTAAATATTTTTTTCTACTTTAATATTGTTTTAAAATATATTGAGTTGATGTTATAATAATAAAAAGAAATAACTATAAAATAATTGTGATGTTGGCTTGGGACCAAGTTTGGCACGGTTCAAATGCCACTAGTTATTATATCATCTATCCTATGCGGTATCAATTTTCTTTAATCAATTTTTCATTTTGTATTTGATGTCCGTGTTAGAGCCTCAATAAAATCTTGATCACGCACTGCATGAGTCTTTCTAGAAAAATATTCCTAATCAAATTTTCTCCATATATATCGAAACTCAAAATTATAACTTAAAGCATAAAATAATTCTGACATCGACCATCGTACCATGACTCATGTTAGCAACACCAATTCGATACTTCTTAGGATGAGGATGAGCTCTTTCTTGTGTCATTCATTATTTAGGGAGTAAATATTAGATGACACGTGTCAATATTAGGAAACATGTCTCCATCAATCTCACATCAAATTCAACACGTTGTCTAGGATTACCATTCATTTATTTTATTTTGTTTTTGAAACAATATCGTTTTTTTTTTCCTTTAAATAATAAAGAGGGTATAATCTTTGACGTAAGTTTAATTTAGGCTTATCTTTTTGAGAATGAAATGATTGAGTTTGATCTCCATTATTGGACTCCAAATATTTTAATTAATTTAAGATCCCTCAAAAGTAGGATGCCATCATCAAAACAATAATCTTGTTTCCCTTTTGAGTTTTGCAAATAGATAATTTAATCTCATTACTTGTAACTTTGGTAAATTTACCGTCCAAGTTTCATAATTTATTTGGATTTGTTATAGAATTAAAAGAAATATAAGACAAAAAATGTAGATAAAGTATATAGAGTATAAGAAGAAGCTATTTTCCCCTTTCTTTCAAATGTATTCAAGTGTTTTTCAAATCTTTAAATACGTATAATATGATTCTCACAAATATTTATATTTACAAATTATAGGACTACATAAAAAAAATACCAAAAGGCATCATAAATATGACATTAATTTTTGAAAATGTGTAAATGATTATTGAAGTGTGATGAGAAGGTGGTGTAGGTGTGACTTGTGAGTATTACTACATATAATAAAGAGTCAGGGCCGGCACTTGCCTTTGTAAAATAAGGCTTATGCCTTAGGACCCTAAATTTTG